GAATCCGGGACTTATTAAATGAGAGGCGAACATCATAACCTCTTGGCCGCGAGGGCCTCTATGCAAATAGCCAAACTATAGTCTGTTTTCTTCATCGTCTTTTTCTGTAACGTTGTCATCACGCCACATAATCCTGTTTTCATCAGGCCACAAAATCCTCACTCTCATCCCCCTTGCCCCTTCACTTTTCCTTTCTTCTTTGCTTCTCTTTGCCTGCTTCCGTTCAGTACAGGTTCTTGCGCACACGGCTAGGCCACACTCTTAATCCTACCCCGGGGGAGACCATTCCCAAACGACGCCAGCAAACCGCGTGAGACATCACACCATCAAACAGCCTTACCCCCCCCCCCTCCTCCTCATTCCCTTATCAACTTGAAAAAACTTGCATGTGGTTTGATGGGAAATATAGGCGTCTGTACGTCTTCTATCAGTTCGTAACTCAGGACACGAAATTACTAATGTTCTCATGTCGCAAAACATTTTTCGTTTGTTTTTGTGTAAATTGCAGAAAATCGACACAATAACAGTCATTCAGTACAGGGAAAAGTAGGCAGAATAGACAGAAACAACAGCCGGGAGGGGTGGGGGAAAGGGGGGGGGGATGAGGAGAGAAAAGAAGTAGGGTCTCCAACCAACTGCATAAATCTTAAGGCTTAGTAAGAATTTTACAGTACTTTTTAAAAGTTTCAGTAGAGGTTTTTCGGCGCTCGCAACTGCATAAGGCCATATGAGCGCCAGAAGATTAGAGCTGTTACAAGAGAGTAACAAACAAAAAAGAAGGAGGGGAGATAAGGACGATACATTTTTTACAGGAAAGAAGAAGCAAACCACACAAGAGCACCCGCCAACCACCCACTTACAGCACTTGCAATACAAACGGGTCATATAAATGCCTAAGATTAAGGGTGTTACTAGAAAGTAATATACAAGGAGAAGATGCAGAAGAGATAAGGCCGACAGATGTTTGATGGGAAAGAAGGTGCAAGCCACACCAGAGCGTCCACTAACCACCCACAGGAAAAGACGGAGAGTAACAAGGGAGAGAAAGAAAAGTAGAACTAACAAGTAGCAACCTCCAACCACCCACGAAAATGTGTGGGGGGGACACCTTTAGACAACATTGTAAACACAAACATTATACCCGAATACATCAAAGAATAAATGTGAGGCAGCGTGGTGGAGTCAGGCTCTCGTCAATTTTTGGGCATGTAGAGTTATTGGTATCATCTTAAAGCTTGTTCACTTGTCTTTCTTTGGATGAAAAAAATATCCATTTATCTTGAGTACAAATTGACATATTTGCGAATGAAGGAGATGGGGTCACCTGTTTTCAGAGGTAAAATTAGTGAGAAAATGGCTGCCAAAGATTAGTTATTTCCTTAGCTTAAGAGTCCGTGGCAAGTGAATGTTTACATTTATTGTACCTTTCTTTAATCAGTGTTTTTCAGAAAAATCCTCTCAGAAATTAGTTCTTTAATGCGCATAAAAGATGTTGAGCCAAAAAACAAAAATTTGATAAAAATTCACAAACCTGCAGAAAAATGCAAGTTTCTTCATTTTGATTATTTTGACGAGAGCCTGATTCCACCACGCTACCTCACATATGTCAAAAGCATCCTCTGAACACGTTCTAAACACGCACAAAACTATCTAGCACCAAACACGGCGTACACGTACAAACTTCAACAATGGAATACTTACTTTAAAGGAATACTCTAGCTTCACCAAAAATGGAAAATTGATGGATTGCAAAATCTTTTTCTCGTTAAGCGTGTGTTCTACTTGTTTCAACTTGACAACCTGTGAAGGAAAGAGAGAAAAAAACAAACCACAAATTAGGAATCAAGCAGCACTGGTTTCACATTGTAATTTCCCTCATGAATTCATCAAGGGAGGGTGGTTTGGCAGGCTTCTTAATTGAAAGTTACAGCCTTACAACACCCGTGTCATCGTTTTTAACATCCAAAATAAAAAGCCTTTTAGAAACCAGTAAATTTTTATTGTATAATATCTAAGTCATTTGAAATCAGAAATGCTGTGTTAGACTAATCAAAGTGAAACAACATGGTTACATTTCAGTAACATCCACAAAAGTAGCAATAAGCCATGGCAAGACAGCACTGACTGGGTGAGACTGGTTTACAAAAGAATTGAAAAAAAACCCACAACAACAAACAGGCACAGAAGAGTATTCTCTCCTTCATATGTATGTGTGTGTGTGTGTGTGTGTG